GCCCATGTGGTGCGTTGGTACCGAGGTTGGTACCTCTGCGCCGCTCCGCGCGCCACGCAGGTGAGGTGAGGTGTAGTGGACTCCATGGGCGGCGGTGCGAGACGCCAAATGATCCAGGCCCGCATGGCCCGGCCGAGAGTGCTCCGCTGTCACGCCAGGGAGCGGCGGGGCTCCAGGCCGGCGCCAGGCGCGGTCAGCCTACAGGAGGAAAGGAAGGGGAGAAGGGGGGCTGGCAGTGCGGATTGGTCGTCGCGATGCTTAACGGTCCGCTCCGCGCGGCTCCGCGGCAGGCGCGAGGAGATGGAGAGGGGCGTGGCGGAGAGTGGCGGGGCGCGGCGCGGGGCCCAACGGCTGGGGCCAGGCTGGGGCCAGGCTGGGGCCGCCATCGGTATTGGCTGCAAGACCTAGAGCAGCGCGCGGGGCCCGGCGCCACTCGGCGCCGCCCAGCCTCGATGGCCAGGCCGGTGCACGAGGTATGGGGGGCAGGGAGAGAGAGACTGAGAGAGAAAGATAGAAAGAGCGAGAGAGAGCGGGAGGAGAGACGGGGGGAGGCACTGCCTCTCGCGTATGTATGCCTTGCTTTGCATTGCTTTGATCGAAGAGGCTCCCGATAGTCCGGCATCGCTGCACTCCGAGTTGGCAGTCAAGGGGGAGAGGCAAGAGGGAGGGGGAGGGGGCGGAAGTCATTTTCTGCCTGAGCGACCGCCCCACCTGCCGACACTACCGCTGTAGCAGCACCCAGCACCCCCCCTCTCCTCCTCCCCATTTCCATCTCTCTCTCCCTCTTTCTCTCCCCTCCCTCTCCCCCCTCTCTGCGCTCTCGAGGGGGATCCTTCCCTTCCCCCCTCACAGAGACAAGCACTGCCGCAAAATGGCGAGAGAACAAAGGGAAAACTATCGAGCCAAATGTGGCTAACATTAAGTTGTGACTTGCGAACGGAGGACTACCTAACGGGGTACTGTTTTACACTTGCCGTGCGAAGCCTCCCCCCCTTCCCCCTCACAGCCGCACCTTACTAAATGTATAGGGTCTCCCTTATCATCATGAGTGAGCGATAGACACTTGGACACAGCACGCGTGAAGTGAAGCAGAGGGATTGTGCTACATGCCGCCCGACCGCTGAAGGTTGGGGAGGGCGGACCTACCACCCCGAGGTAGAGGGTAGCGGGGCCGGGTGGTTGGTCATCCTAAACATCGGGGCCTCTCAGGGGGTCGTCCGGTAAGAAAAGGCACGAGCGAAAATGGCGGAGGTAGAAGGTGCGGAGGTAGAAGGTACAAGTTCCAATCGCTGCGGCACTGTGTGGCCACGCGGCCTAGATTCCTGATGTGAACAAACTGAGCACAGCTGCCGCCTGTGGCAGGAGGAGGCGGGATCGGGCACGGCGCGAGGAGTGAGGCTGCTGTACTCGCTTGCAAAATGGCTCTAGGCGTGGCGTGGCTTTGGGCTCCCTCCGCCGGGGAGACAGCATCGGCAGCGGCACGGCAGAATGGCACGGCAGTGCAGAACACGGTAATTGGACAGAGCGGGCAAAGCTCTAGCTCAAGCCCGATGTGGTGTCCCCGTCGCGTGGCGGGGCG